TTAATCCAATTAAACTTACTGATAAAAATTCATAGCTTGGTTATCATAGAGCATATGTAATAAAAACATGTATTGTGCAATTCCCACGACTTCCCTTACCGGTTAGCTAAGTCCAATATAAAAATCTTCGTTGATATTGGAGCTATTATGATTTCTTATCTTAACGTTTGGACTTAAACAATTAACAAAACAACTTAATCATCTTTCAAATAAGCATTTATAAAAAATGTTCATCACTAGGTCCGATGGTCAATTTTGATCTTCCTATTTCAAGGTAGATTTTATCTATAAACTTGTTTTCATCAGAACGACTTAAAATGCCTAGGATTTAGACGAGGTCCTTCAAAAAAGTTGTATAAAACACGACTCTTGGGCTATATAAATTTAAGAATCCCTGATTTAGAAAGTCTCACGAAATGTTTAGTTTCCTGTTATTAGAAAAAGAAAATTCCTTGTTATATAATTTTATTTCCGTATATCGTAAAAGTTCTGTACAGCTGATTATGTTTCTCATTTTGGCAGATAGTTTTCCATAACGGTCTTTTTAAAATATTTTCTCTATAGCTGGAGTCGAACCCTAGTCTTAATCATAAACATTGCTATAGAAGCAGCAGTCGAGAGGGGGAAGTTAAGATGTTTATCGGTTATTACCTCTAAGGATTTCCCCCTCCTAATTTACGATACCCCCCTTCCGATGAAACCGTATATCATCAAGGAGGCCCCCCAACACCTTCTAAGACTGCCGTGTTGACACAAATGATGTCGCTAATATGATGGTGGGATTTTATGTTATTAATTACACTCTGGTGTACAGTTTCAGGCGAGGTGTGTCTTTGATCAGCGAGAGCGTCTGAAAATACATCACTTGCTTAATTATTGTTAAATTATTTCGTAATTTATAAAGGTATTTCCACAAAATAATATTTGAGTTATAACTAGTAGATATATGATATAACAAAAAAAAAAAAAAAAAAAAAAAGGAGAAGAAAATGTCAGTTTTTAATTATTCAGATATAATGAGGTCTTAAAAATGTAAAATAATATTGATAAAACCAGAGAAAGCATACCACACATCACACAAACCCCTTCTTATCAAATTATTAACATGTGCCTAAAACGTAAATATTTTTATCTCATCGTAACCTATAAATTTAAACTAAAACTCTTGGAATTGGGGCCTTTTTAATCTAGATATTGACAACCTTTCTCTATTTAATCAAGTACTAAAAACTCGTATATACGCATTTATTTTCCATTTGATCGTATAATAATATGAAAGTAAAATCGAGAAAAAAAAGCTGGCCTACAAAAATATTGGACCATTTGGCCTATATAACCTCGTTATTGTAGAATTTTGGAGATAGAGGTTACACCGAACGGTTCTATATATTTGATACCTTTTTTTCTCGATTTTGTACTCAAATTATCTGACGATTCAAGTGGAAAACAAACAGGTATTTACGAGTTTTTAATACATAATTAAATAGACCATATTTTGGCAATCTCCAGATCGAAAACACCCCGATCCGAAAAAAATCGTAAATAAAACAGTTGTAGTAATTAAATTTTATGAATAAAGTTTTTTAAAATATTTTTTTTTAAAAGTAATGTATATATTTGGCTACTCCTTTAGTTAGCTGATGCCCTGGAGAACATATCGTCCTGGACAAGTCCTTCCAGCGAGTCCTGGAACCGAACCGGTCGCCCTTGGCCCTCAGTGAGGAGGCGACTTATATTTAGAACCATCCGCCAGCTATTTTTAGAATGTACTGCCTTACCTTTCGTCTCGTACTTTTTATAATAATTAGTTTTAATTCTTATATCTTTTCCGCCTTTATAAAATTATTTTCTGTTATGGTTTGCTTGTAGTTATGATAATTGCATATTCGAAAATTCATGTTAATAGAAATAAAGTAAAAAAGAGACGGTTACTTTTCGGACTATATAATTGTAAGATTTTTTTTTCCCGCACCTATCATAATCTTGACAATAAGCACATGTAATCTCATTGTAAAGAAAATTGGCATTTTAAGCATTAGGAAAATTAGTATCTAGCAGAACCTCTTTCTAGTCTTGGCCTACATTATAATTCAGGAAAGGAGATCTCTCATCCAGCTCCTCTTTGTTCGTTTTCTGATGGGCATGTCAGCTGTGGCCATGTCATTGATAAGTTCGTTGTGAATGTCCGTGTAGCTTAAGATGAAATCGTGATTAGTTGTTTTCCACTAGGATCATATAATAATTTGAATGCAAAATCGATCAAAAAGGTGACCTACAAAAATATTGGACCATTCGGCCTATATAACGTCGGTATTGTAAAATATTGGGGATATAGTTTACCAAACGATTCTATATTTTTGAAGGATACCTCGATTTTATACTCAAATTATCTTACGATTCAAGTGGAAAGCAAACAGGTATTTACGAGTTTTTAGTTCTAATTAAATAGACCATATTTTGGCAATCTCCAGATCGAAAACGACCAGATCCGAGAAATTTCGTAAATCAGATAGTTGTAGGATACCATTAGATAAAGCTATTTATGAAGTTTTAATAAGTGTTAATAATTTGATCAGGCCGAGACGAGTCTTGGTCTTGCAAACTCAGTCTTGGTCTTGCGCAATAGTCTCGCTACATTCTTGCAGTTACTTATTAGTTTATTACTACAGAGATATTACTGTATTTTTTTAGATAGGAGGAACCTAACTAGCCCCATTGAGGAGGTAATTGCAAAAGTATATTGGTTATACCAATTATTTACATATAGTAACTAAGATTGTCAAGTATTAGTAACTTTTTTGTCTTTATTTTTATTTAAAAATTCGATTTTTTTTTACCAGTCCTGGTCTTGGTCTTACAACAGTTAGGCAGCCTTGGTCTTGATCTTGCAAATTACATTTTATACAACTTAGCCGTGGTCCCTTGGTCAAATCTATGAGCAGGTGTATATATCCGTTGTGGTCATTAAAGTGTTAATTAAATTAGGACAAATAAAGAAAATTATATGACAGTTACTTTTCCACACTTTTTATAACAGAAACTGAAAAATCCAGCCATACATTTAGGCTTAAGTTTTTAAAATAATAGTGTAAATCCCTAACGATATTTAGTTCAACCATGACCCTACATTCCTTCATCGTTAATCTGGTTAGTTTAATAGCCTCCAGTTCTTCAAGATTCCAGCGTGACTCCAGAGTAAGGCAGGGAGAGATGAGAACCGAGTTAAACCCGCCTGGGGGAACTCGTCCTTCACCCACCTTTTATGTTGGCCATCTTAAAAAAAAAAAAAAAAAAGAACACGCCTTGGAGCCTCAGAGGAAAAAAAGAAGAAGTCTTCCGGTCCTGGCAAGAATGTCTTCGCTGCTCGCTGGCTCAGGAAATTATATTCTCCTGCGGTTCGAACCCAGTCAGCTAATTTTCGGCAAGTTGGTCTACAGAAAATAAACAAGCGTCTCCTGAATCGAGACGGTATAGCTTCCTCATATAAATATTGGTTACATAAGTACATATATTTCAAGGTCTTTGTTTTATCGTATAAATGAACATGATGGAATTTAATAAAATCGAAATTGATCCTTGAACATTTGAGCAAATCAAAATATTTTTATTTTAGTAAACGATTCGACCTGTTAAAAAAAATACCTAATGTAAAGTACAGTACACTTGTAAGCACCCTTTCCTTATATTTACTACTGTTTCCCAAAATTAGTCTTGGTCCTTTCCTAGACCAAGACCAAGACTGGTAAAAAAATATCTTTTGTAAATAAAAATTAAGGCAAAACAATTACTAATACTTGATTCTTTCAGTTACTACGTGTAAGGAATTTGTATAAACAAAATAATTTTGTTTTTAACTCTTCCAATTTTGTATTTGGGCTTAGTTGGGTTTCTCGTTACTGAAAAATCACAGTAATATCACTATAGTAATCACTACAATAATATTGCTGGGCTCTTGCGCAAGACCAAAACGAAGATCAAGACTGAGTGCGCAAGACCAAAGCTAGTCTTGGTCTCTCATTTGGGCAACACAAATATTTACTATTTAGCACATTTTACAAGCATCATATTATTAACAATTAATTATATTAATTGTAATTATTAATTGCAATTAATGAAATGCATATTTCACGATTTAGACACTATTCTCCGAATTTCCACGAACTTTGTGTCAAACGCTCAGTTTTTGGAATTTTGGTCTATCAAGAAGAATACATTCGCATATCCGAAAGAGTGCATAGAATTTGATAACATTGATGCCTATTTGATCATTTGTTTACCAATCCATAAGTTTAGCGACTTTGGGACAGATTAAAATTGCGATTTTATGCGAGATATTTCTGTATTAAAAAAAATACGTTTGCATACATGTAAGAACTAGTTTCTACCATCGATGTTATTCGATAAAATTGATATATAATTTTTTTTACGATCCTCTGACATTCCTTCAACTTTCTGCCAAATTGAACTAGCCGTTACTGAAATAAAGATTTGTTCAATAAAATACTTTCTTGCGTAAGTATTAAATAGACTAATGAAATTGATATAGGACTGTATATATTGGTGCCTATCTCATGAAAACTAAATATAGGCGATGATCTGTAGATAGTATGCCAGTCACTAGATTTGAATACAGACTGACAGACCAACAAAAACGATACCAAATCTGTTCCTTGTTGCATGAAACGTAATGTTTGAATCTGAGTACAAATTATTATTTTTTTTATCGGCAAACAAAACTTCCCTTCCTTGGCTATAAAAAAAACAAAAAATACGGAACTGTAATAAATATTTTCAATTATTTATAGTTTTATAGTTATTATCATCAAATTTTTGAAGTTACATCAGTCTCAAAAAGTGTTTATTTATATTTATTACTACATTTTATGGAATGTCTGTATCACTATTTCACTACTTCCAAGTGTAAATATTAATAATCATAATTTATTTCCTTAATTATAACTACTTCTTTTATTTACTTATATGTTATCTTTTTTTTTCAGGCACAGCGCCATTAACGGAAACGGGATATTCGCCCGCAGGCAAGACTTCTCTTCCTTCAACGCTTTACCAAAGCACAAGCTCAACTCCTACCACATTAAGGTAATTGTATTTACAAATATTATAGTGTATTGTAGAACTATTATATATATATATATATATATATATATATATATATATATATATATATATATATATATAGTAATTCCCCAATTTCCAGCAGTAAAGTTTTTGTTTTTTTATGTGAGTCAGGTAGCGATTACTTATTGTGTAACGTTTGGGTAAAGTCGGTTGGAGTCGACTAATTGAAGTGTTTTTGCAGATGGATTAAAATATCTCTAAAACGGGGGAAATGTTCATCATTTTATTCCTCTGTAAGGAGCAATTAATTGTATCTGAAGCAGTGTTAGAGAGGGGAAAAGGGAAAAAATATTTCGAAAACCTAATGATAACGAGTGTTTTTGAAGAAATTTATTCAAATATCTGAGAAACTAAAAATCAAATCTGCATACTATAAGCGAGAAATTGTTCAGCATTTCATCCTCTCTATAATGATAATGAGCTATTATTTATGATTTATACTTCATATTATTAATCTCGCCTTGTTGATAATTTCATTTCTATCTTGTGGTCTAAAGCACGTACCTTAGTTGGTTTTTTTATTTAAATTTATTTATATTATAAACGCTAATTTGTAATAAATTGGCATTGACGTCCAATTTTAAATTAGTTAAGTTATATTTGGATAAGTATTTCCCTCTGCTTTTGGAACAGCCTGTATATTCCTGTAATGGTTCTTGCCGACATAAGGCGGGCGAGGAGATAGTGTATCAAGAGAATGGCCTTGGTTGAGTCAGCACTGCCTTGTTATTTACTCCAGCAATTTTCATATACTCATACTTAATAACTTAACATAATTAATATTAAAAACCAACGTAATTTAAAAATACAAATTGATTAATATAATAAATAATTATTGTAATTTAATTTTTAAAAATCCGTAAAATACTCTTAAACCGGTATAAGAGATACTTGTGGGTAAAAAACTGGGTTTAAATGATCAAAATAAATTTAAGTTAATCGGCAATAGTTGGAGGATTAAGAATTTGATTCGAAGAGTAGACTAAACTTTTATATATTAAATAACAGGTATAATAATGAGGATTAGAAATAATTAGGAATTTGTGTCTAGATTTTATTATTTTATTTTATTAAGCTTGTCGTGGTATAAATCCAAGAAGGTGGGTTTATACTCTAAGTCCTGAATTACAATTTTAATACATTATTAACAATTTAAAAAAAAACAACGAAACATTAGTCCACATTAAATTACATGATTACTAATTTTTTTTACCTTAAATATAGTTTAAAAATATCACATAAGATATAAATAACCTAAAGAAGGTTGTTTATCATAAAATTATAGTGATAATATAATATCCCTTGTTAAAAATTTATATCCTTATCATAAAAATAAAAAAAAATTAATTTATTAAAACATATTTATTTTATACCATGTCCATCTCAACAGCAACTTTATATACAATAGCTTGATTTGATTCGAGATATCTTTGTTTTGGTGTCATACGAAACTTAAAATTATATGCAACGAAAATTGATTGGAAAATGTTTTTCTTCTTTGGTATTTTTGCCTGCAGTTTTTTTCTTTCTTGCATATTGAATGAGAGCCCTAAAAAATCAATTGCTTTTCGTTTAACTCACTTCCTTTAAATATGGAATAATTTTTGTTTAATTAATCGATTATTAATGTACACACAAGCATATATTATTAAACACAATATTATATCAATTGTTATTAATATAATGATTTATATTAACGTGATTTATATTCGTCCCGATCACCTCCCTGCACAACCGTTGGTCTAGTAACAGTGCTTACATACATTCTACTGAATCCAAGACCCTTCATGGGTTGTTAGTGGTACAGGAAAAAAAGTATTGGTCTATTGTTGTTTTTTTTATAATCGTTAATTTTCAGACTTTGTATACATAGTAAAAACTCCCACTACTTTTTTTATAGTCCATGCTCTCCCAGTTAAAATAGGAATTCTGTGACTATGTAGGTAATCGCATAACAAATCTGCTATTTACAAACAAATATATATTTACTCATATGTATCCAGGTATAAATTTAATGGGAGGGAGGCTAAATTGATACATAAATGTTGGAAGGGGGGGGGGGCGGAGAGGTTAGGTCAAGGACATGAGATATCTGCGGATATTTTCCCCTCACAATGCCTTTATTGACAATTCAACTGCGTTTGCAATTTTACGAAATCGATGAGATAGCCTGGAGTTATGAAACGGACAATTCAAAATCAGTTTATTATGTTTTTTATTTGATATTGCATAAATTTAAATTAATAAGCACCATAAAAGCTGTTCTTATCATTTATATATATAAATTGTGAATAGTATAATTTAATTACTAAACACTTTTATATCTGTATTGTTCTCAACTGTAAACTCTCATAGCAGCATTTCATAACAATACTTTCATAAATAAAGTCAACAGTATGATTGAGAAGATGGTTGTTTTTTTAAGTAAATTTATTAATTAAATAAAATATCCTTCTAGCAATGTCAGCCAAAGGCATTTGAAAGGAACTGATAAGCAAACGTTTCTCAAGAATTTTATTATGTAAAAAATAAATAAATATTATTATTTATTCTCCTTCTCTTCATTAATATTTTTTGTTCTAAATTCAAACATTTATAATATATACAGTTATAATTCTGTTTAAATTACTTTGATAAACATTGTTCCAACTGATCATACTCTAAAAATGAAACTGTAGGTTTATGATAACTAAAATATGTGATGATCGTATATTATAATTATTTTAGTATGATTCGTCATATTTAATATGACAATATTTTGTATGGAATTCGTTATTATTTGGTTTTCGACATTATTTTTCCCTTTTTGTCTCTCTAATATGGCATCGCGTTATGTTACAATTTTGAATAATAGTTCATTACAAAGTGGATAAATTATAGAACATTTTCCTCAGCTTACAATATACAGATCCGAATTTTCGTTGCTGATATATTTTAATCCATATGCAAAAACACTTCAATTAGTCAACCCCAGCCGATTTTACCCGAGCGTTAATCATCAGAGACTGACGGCTCAATTTAATTCGTCACCACAAAAAAAGAGCAAAACGCTCCTAAAGAAGATTTCACCTAAAAAAAAAAAAAATAGCTGCCTTGTTTCTATTTGTATGATTCTGAGATGTTTCGTTCTTCGGCATTTAAAATTTTATTTATCTGTAGTTCCTAATTTATATATATACCTTTTTTATTAAATCTTCTAAATTTTCAAGGGCATTTATAAATAATAAGATTTATAATATGGTTGAAAATTGCTTTATTTCACGCTTGCACATCTACTGCATGCTGTAATTAATTTTAATTTTCTGGACGACGTTTCCACCAATTTTGCCCATTTTCAAGTTCAATATTTATATTATTATTATTTAATCCATATAATTATATTTTTTCGTATAATTATAGTAACGTTTATCTCCTCGCATTCTTCTAATATTAAATTCATATCTTATTTTTAAAAAGTCAATTCTAATAAAACTGTGGTCCATCAAAAAATTAAACATTATTTTAAATTTACATAAAATGTGTAAAATTTGATCTAAATTAAAAATAATAATTAATTTTTTGTTGTGCCACAGTTTTTTTTAGAATCGACTTTTCATAAATGAGTTATGAATTTAATATTAGAAAAATTTGAGGATATAAATGTTACAATAATTATACAAAAAATATAATTATATGGATTATATAATAATGATATAAATACTGAACTTGTAAATGTGCAAAATCGCCTGAAACGTCGTCGAAAAAATTAAAATGAATTGAAGCGCGGAGTAGATGTGTAAGGGTGAAATTTTATTTTATATATATATATATATATACATATATATATATATATATATATTTTAAGGTAGATTTTTTTAGGTGTTGTCGAATTACCCATTCTTCGAGTACAACACAAGTAATTCCTTCTACGTTAGGCAATGTTGCCATTACATCGGCGTCAATATTTCGATTGCTGGCTGACTTTAGGGCGAAGTTCCAAACTCTCTTAATTCTTAACGAGCTTTCGATCGGACATTTCATTGTGGAACAAATACCGCGCCGACTGTCGGTAATTTGTGGAGCAAACCGATAATACAGGAAGCGCTTCCGCAGTCGGCTATTGTATCAGAAATAATTACCTAATAACTATGTATAGGCCCCTAGTAAAACCTCCCCTTTATTCTTTTATATCTGTTTTTTTTTTATCTTTTTTTCTTCGCAACGGTGTACAATTGTTTCATCTAACGGTAAACAGCCTCGGAATAATTGAACAGGTGTGATAATATACCTTGTTAATAGTTTATTGTTAGTAATTATTTTGATGTTGTTCCTAGATACGATCTTATAAATCATTTTTTAAAAAACAACAGAATTTTACATTTGCAATGAACAAATAGATAAATCAAAATTAAATCAGATCGAAATACTTATCTTTTTTTTTAAATTTATTTATTCATGAGATTTACAACTGTATAAATTAAAAATACATCCAGTAAATGTGCACACGGTAATAACACAATAATAACAAAACGCTTGTTGAGAAACTATTCATTGGTAGCACTCTAATAATATATTTACATAAGTAGATCACGAGGCCATCTTCTTTTCAGCCGCCTTCGAGCATTATCAGGTATCGTGGAGGAAGCAAGAATTGAAACGAGAGGGTTCGGATGGTTTTGAAGATTTTTATGAAAGGATAGGTATCTGGATTGAGCCAGGTCAGAAACATAAGGAACATTAAGGTCGTTATGGATGATTTTATTTGTGTCAAAGTAGGGAGCATTGAGAATTTAACGAAGGATTTTAGATTGTAGAGATTGGATACGAGAGCAATTTGATGGTTTAGTAGAGCCCCAAAGCTCGATCCCGTAAGTCCAAATAGTCCTTATTATAGTAATATATATATATGAGTCTTTTGTAATATATAGAAAGTTTAGAGCGTTTGTCTAGTAAGTGCTGGAGTAGTCGATAAGGTCGAGCAG